TTTTTTTTTTTTTTTTTTTTTTTGGTTCCTGGGGATCAAACACGGGTCCTTTTGCTTGTGAGGCAAGTGGTGGAACCACTGAGCTAAGTCCCCTGCCCTTCCAATCATTTTTTTCAGACCCTGTGGATTCTTCTCATTTGGATACATGTAGTTCCATCAGTCAGGTCATTGAACGGTTACCTCAGCCAAACAGGACTAGCAGGTATGCTAATATTTGAATGAATTTATATTTAAATTTTCATATTTATTTTGAAATGGTCTTCTTTTGTCTCAGGCTGGCCTTGAACTCACTTTGTAGCACAGGCTGGCCTCAAATTCTGGCAATCCTCTGGCCTCCGTGCTGGAATTATAGGTATGCATCACCACACTTGGATATTTAAATTTATTAACAGATCAACTCTTATTTGTACCTGTTGCCTTATCCCAAGGATAAAGGGATCAATCTTTGTGTGAATTAAGAAATGGGATTTGAGAATTTTATAGATAGCATTGTGTTTAGTACTGTTAGTTGGAACCTCTTTTTTGAAGGTGATATTTTTTATAGCTGCAGTATTCAAGTTGTCAACTATCGTGTGCTTGCAAAACAACATAGGCATTCCTCATTGTTAGTAAAGATATAGCTTCTGAGAAAAAAATTTAAAAAATTAGGTGTACTATTATCAAAACTGTTAGGCATGCTTTCTACCAAAGTACTTTACCAGGTTAGATCCAGGTTTGATTCATAACATAAGCAGTAATCAGTTTTTACTATGTCTTATGTATACTTTTATAATATCCCTTTTTTCCCAGGTCATCCTCTGTTAGACCCTATATTGGATGTTTGACATGTAATCTTATTTAGTTCTGTCTCTAAAGGACCTCTCCAGTGGAGACATTCTGTTACTTCCATCACCCAGTACAGTGGGGGAAACTGATGGGCAAAGAAGTTAAATACCTAGTCAGGAATACACTGTTAGTAAGTCACAGAGCTGGACTTCGGGTTTTCCCTTTTGACTCAAATGCTTCCCCTTCTAATGATTCAGTGCTTCTCAGTCTTCTGAAGGTCAAAGAAAAATAGACAACTTTAGGAGCTGGGAGGTGTCGGGGTTGGGAGATGGAGCAGAATGTTAGCTTGAGATGGTTGAGAGTATTGTTTTATCTTAAAATTAAATGCTTTTCTCTGGTGTAACTTATACTCTATGCACAGATTCCTCCTATGTCAAGTAAAGATAAATGCTTTAGAACAGTGTGCAAATGGGTGGGCTCATGTTGGCCTGTAGATGAGTTGTGTTTGGCCTACTTGTGGTAAAAGATACCTGAATTAATTGACAGAATTTAAAAAGGGGGAAATTTCTCCTCACACCTGGATTTCGGGCTTCTGGGGTTCCCATCCTTCTCGGAAGCAGTTGGTGGAAGCTGTGAGTAGTACCTGCCCTTCCTCACACGAGGCACAAGAGCACTGTCTGATGATGTCTGCAGCCCGCTGTCGGGTGAACACCAGGACTGGTTATGTCATTTTTCATAATGCTGTTGTTCCCACACTCACTTGAGTCACTCCCATATGTTACCTTGCTTTGCTTTCTAGGCATTTAAGTTTATAGTACCTTTTCAGGAACATGTACAGACATAGATGTGTTTTCACGCTCAGATTCCTGATTTGAATAGGGGGACTGGAAGTATGTATACCCCACTGTTTGAGAAGTTCCATGCTACTACTTTGCCTTTTTTTTTTTTTTTGAGATAGGGTCTCACTTTGTAGTTTTGGCTGGCTTTGAACTCATTGTATAGTCCACTCTGGTCTCAAACTCCGGATGATCCTCCTGCTTCAGTCTCCCAAGTGCTGGGATAATAGTTTTCCTTTTCTGCATCAGTGTAATTGAATGGGTGTGTTCATTAAATATTCAGGCATTGCAGCATGTATTTTAAAGGGGCTTTATCATTTAGCTTATAATCTAATGAGGGAGACTGATATTAATCAAGCCATTACATCAGTAGCTATACAGTTACAGTTGCGATCATCTAAGAGAAAAAAAAAAAAACACCCTGATCTGGGGCCATGGAAACAGCTTTTTGAGGACTGCAGTCCAACAGTAACTGAATTTTCTGGGCATAGTTGGAGGGTTGAAAAGCAGCATGCGCTGTGAGAAGAATGGCTTTCCTAACGGAGTGAACTGCAGAGTCAAGGCCTGGAAGCCAGAAAGAACTTGAGGGTGATTCTAAAAGAGTGAAAGTTCTCTGCAACATATGTGTCTATGTTGTTTTTATTCATTAATGTAGATATTTTGATAAAAATGGCTTCTTGGGAAATAGTCTATGTCATGAAATTCCACCCCCCAAAATAAAATCTTTACCTTATCTAGTGTCCTATTGATATAAGCTGACATTCCTACTCTGGCAATGTTCTAAAATGTGGAAAAAATACACTTTTATATCACCATCAAACATTTAAAAAATTGAGATAATTGTAGATTTCCTTGTTGTTTTAAGAAATAATAGAGTGTGGTGGCACACACCTCAGGCTGAGGCAGGAGGATTGTAAATTGGAGGCCAGCCTGAGCAATTTAGCAAGCCCTATCTCAAAATAGAGATCAAGAAACGGTGGCACGTGACTCAGTAGTATAAGGCTCGTCTGGCATGGGTGAGGTCCTGGGTTCTGTCCTCAGTAGCAGCCCCTGCCCCTCCCCGAATAGGTCCTCTGTATGCTTTATGTCCATTTCACCCCAGTGATAACATTTTTTGAAACGATAGTAAATATGCACACACTTTTTGTTTTGTGTTTTGAGGTAGGGTCTCACTTTGTAGTTCAGGCTGGATTTGAAATCACCATGTAGCCCAGGATGGCCTTGAACTCAGAGATTTACCTACTTAAAGCCTCCCTGAGTGCTGGAATTATAGGCGTTTGCAACCACATCCAGTTAAATCTGCTATAAACATTTCTGTACAAGTTTTTGTGTGGATGTAAGTCATCATTGCTCTGGGATAGATGCCCAGGTTTTCAGTTTCTGAGTTTTTACAGAATTATTTATTTATTTATTTATTTATTTATTTATTTATTTATTTATTTTTTAGTATTTTGAGCCAGGGTCTTATATAGCTCAGGCCAGCCTTAAACTCACTGTGTAGCCCAGTCTGGCTTGGAATTCATGGTGATCCTCCTGCCTCCGCCTCCTGAGTGCTGGACTTACAGGCATGCACCATTATACCTGGCTGTTATGGAAATTATTGTAAATATCTATAAATTATCTGTAAAGGCCTGTTTCTCTTTTCTTTTTTGTGGTACTGGAGATTGAATGTAGGGCCTCTGCACTGAGCTACATACCTTCCTCTTTTTTATTTTGAGAAGTTCTCGCTGAGTTGCCCAGTTGGAACTCAGATTTGGCTGGCCGGCCGGCTGGCTGGCTGGCTGGCTTGTTTCCTTCCTTCCTTCCTTCCTTCCTTCCTGCCTTCCTGCCTGCCTGCCTGCCTGCCTGCCTTCCTTCCTTCCTTCCTTCCTTTCTTTTTCTTTCTGTTGAATTTAACATCAGTGCTTTTTTTTCCCCCCTCTCATAATCTGATTTATTTCAAGCCTCTTCTGATTTACCTAATCATTTTACAAATATTTCATTCAGTTTTCTTAATATGCCAAGCACTCTTGTGTTTTGGGAAAACAAAGTGATCAGAAAAGAAATTCTGTAATATTGCTCAGATTCTTACATACGATATAGTAATACATGGTAAATGAAACCTATGTAGCAAGTTAGACACTAATAAGGCCTGAAAAGTAAGACAGCAAGAGAACAGGAAGTATCAAGGAGTTAGGAGTTTATGTGGTTGGAAACTCTCACTGGAGATGGAACTCAGGACCGTATGCTTGCAAGGAGGTGAGGTGCCACTGAGGTAAATCCCTGGCCCTGAGTTAAGAGTTTATGTAGGGTGGCTGCGGTATGTTTTTCTGATGAGATATTTGATTAAAACTGCAACCTGATTAAGTGATCAGTGCAGTCATCTGGGTAAGTATAGTCTGTACCTAGAGAATGAAGTGCAGAGGCCCTGAGATGTGACTGCCTGGCAGATGTGGTAAATGACAAGGAGGTTAGTGTGACTAGTGGAAGGACCCACGGGAGTGGGGAAAGAAGGTGTAGAAAGGAGAGGGGGACGAGTTCAAGGTGTTATGGGTGATTGTGAAAAATATAGCTTTTGTTCTTTGTGAGATAGGAATGCATTTAAGGGTTTGGAGCCAAGGAATGACTCATTTTGACTTAGATTTTTTGATAGGATCACTCTGGCTGCTGGATCAAGAACAGACCTAAAAGGAGAAACAGGGTCAGAGCCAGGAGGGCCAACAAGGAGGTGATTAAAATAACTTAGGCAAAATATGACAGTGGCTGGTTCATGGTAGAAGGCAGAGTATGGTGAGGTACTGAGGGCTTTTTGCAGTATGGGGATTGAACCCTGGGCCTTGTGGTGAGCTCTATCCTCAGGCCTTTTTATTTTGAGACAGGGTTTTGCTGAGTTGCTAGATAGCCCAGGCCAGGCTTAGAACACGTGATCCTCCTGCCTCAGCCTCTCAGAGTGCTGGGATTATAAGTGTGCTTCACCACACCTGGCTGAGATTGAGTATTTATTTATTTATTCATTTATTTTTTGGTACAGGGATCCAACTCAGGACCTTGTGCTTTGAGAGTGAGTATTTAGGACCAGGGATTTAGCTCAGTGGTTCTGCTGCCTGCCTTGCAAGTGCAGTGACCTGAGTTCAGTCCTTGGTACACCCCCCCCCCAAAAAAAGAGAGTATTTGAAAATAGGATTTCAAGATGGATCAGGGCTGGGGATGTAGCTCAGTGGCACAGCACCTGCCTGGCAAGCATGAGGTCCTGAGTTCAATTCTTGGTGGAGCAGATGTAGATTGTAGAGACAGGAAAGAGGTAGTAATAAGCCTAAATTTTTGGTCTGAGCAACTAGAATGGAAAGTCTGTTACTGAGATGGAGAAGACTGCGGAAGGAACAGTTCAGTTTTAGACTTGTTGAAACTGAGCTACCTTTTCAGCAGCCAGCTGGAGATGTTGACATGATTGGATATGCAAGTTTGGAGCTCAGGAGAGGTCTAGGCTGGCACATTTCAGAGTTGTAGGTATATGCTGAGTGCTGCATTAGAAAAGAAGTCTATGCAGGATTTAAGGTAGGAAAATGTAGCTGGAAAAGAGGTTCAGAGATCTGTGCCCACCAGCATTTAGAGGTCGGCCACAAGGAGGGCTGTTCATCAGAAGCTGAAGAGGCTCAGGTGTGTGGCTCCTCCAGTGCCTTTTGTCACATTTGCTCTTGAACCTTCTTTCCCTCTTGGTACCAGGAAAAAAAATAGGCCTAAATTTTATTTTGACATTTTTGTTCCATGTATTCTAAGGGTTTTGTACTAAATATTTTTGTGAATTTTGCCCATATTAATAGATATGATTTTTGTTTTACCTTTTTTTGGGAGGGTACTGGGGATCGAACTTGGGACCTTGTGCTTGCAAGGCAGGTGGCAGAACCACTGAGCTAAACCCCCAGCAATAGATAAGATTTTTTTTTTTGAGACAGTATCTCACTATGTAGTTGAGACTGACGTGGAACTCACTATGTAGTTTAGGCTGGTCTCAAACTCAGAGCGATCCTCCTGCCTCAGCCTCCTGAGTGCTGGGATTACAGGCGTGCGCCACCACACCTGGCAATAGATGTGATTTTTGAGCTCCTTCCCTGCTCATGCAATGTACATTCTGTCATTTCTCAGTAGTATGCTATTTTATTTTGATGTGAGTCTCTATGTAATCCTTTTTTTTCTTCCTCGGATCATGTCTCCAACTTCTCAAGTTTATGTTTTCACCTTTTTTATGTGTAGTTATGCTTAATGTTGTTAGTATGAATTATTAAATATGTAGAAAATTGCAAGGAAGTAAAAAATGTCATCTGCAATCCTGCCACGTGGAGGCTAATTGCTATAAACATTTATGGCAAATTTTTAATTTTTTTATATTTTATTTACATAGTTGTCATCATTGGAAAATAAAAGCTTGTGTTTGTTGACATTTTTGCTTAACAATACCTTTTCCCATGTGAATTAAAATAATAATTTTCTCTAAACCTGTCAAGTGATAAAAAGTACACATGTGTTCTTTTGTGTGGGGCTGAGTGATTTGAAACTGACCTTATTGTTTCCTTTAGCATTCATCCCTTAGAATAAGTACATTATCTTGTGTTTCCATAGTACCATTGTCACACCTAACAATTCCATAATATCTAGTAATACTGTTCATTTTCAGGTTTTTGCAATTGTGTCAAAGATGTCTTATTATTATTATTTTTTTATTTATTTGATCTAGAATCCAGTCTGGGGTCACACAGTGAACTTGATTGTTTCAGACATTTTAGATGGTGGCACAAAATTTTATTTTATTAGCTGGACGTGATGCACACCTGTAGGCAGGAGAATTGCTGCTAGTTCAAGGCCAGCCTGGGCTACAAAGTGAGTTCAAGGCTAGCCTGAACTAGAGTGAAACCCTGTCTTCAATAAGAGAAAGATTAGATTTTATTTTGTAGATATGAAATTATTTAATCTTTTCTCTAATATTAAATGTACACATTGTTTATTAAGACATTAAGCTTACTAATTTTAGGGTTCTTTCCACATTTCAAATATTTCTCTGAAATTATTGAAATTACTAGATATTTTTTTTTTTTTTTTTTTTTTTTTTTTCTTTTTTTGAGACAGGGTCTCACTATGTAGTTGAGACTGACCTGGAACTCAGTAGCCCAGGCTGGTCTTGAACTCACAGCGATCCTCTTGCCTTAACCTCCCAAGTTCTAGGATTACAGGCATGCGTCACCATGCCCAGTGATATTAAGCTCTCTCTTTTCTTGGCAGTGATAGAAATTGAACCCAGTGCTTGGAATCGAATGCTCAAAGTTGAGCATTATTCAACGTGCACATTCCCAGCTCTAAAACTGTTTAGATTTTTAAAAAATAGTGCTGACGATCCTGCCTAGGGCCTTGCATGTACTAGGCAGAGTGCCCTACAGCCAACATCCCTGACCCCTTTTTGAACTCTTCTTTTTTTCGGTACCGGAATTTAACTCAGGACCTTGTGCTTGCCTGGCAGGCTTGGTGCCACTGAGCTATATCCGCAGCCCTTTGAACTCTTGATATGTATTTCCAAATTGTTCTCCAGAAAAGGTCCCTTTATACTGTCTATATGTAAACAGTGAATAATAATGTTTATCTTACCGTGGTATGGGTTCCATTGAGCAATAGCATGGTATTTACTTTTTCTTTTTTCTGATTGGTAGTGGATGATTTCTCTGATTTTACGTGTTTTTAAGATTCAGAAATAGTTTTCTTTTTGATGAGTTGACTATGGTCATTTATTTATTTATGTGTTAGGGTTCCTTGTATGAGTTCTTTTTATTTTTTACTTTTTGTGGAACTGGGAATTGAACTCAGGACCTTGTGTTTGCCAGGCAGGCACTGGCACCTCTGAGCTAAACCTCTGGCCCTAGGATAATTCTTTTTTTTTGGTACATCGAACTTGGAACCCTGCACTTGCCAGGCAGGTGGTACAACCACTGAGCTAAATCCCTGGCCCAATTTTGGTTTTTTGTTTGATTGTTAATTTTTCCAACTTTGTTTTTTTGAGATAAGGTCTCACTATGTGATTAAGGGTGGCCTTGAACTCACTATGTGCATAACCCAGGCTGGCCTTGAACTGGCAATCCTCCTGTCTCAGATTCCCAAGTGCTGGGATTATAGGTGCATGCCACCACACCTGGTTTGTATGAGTTCTTTATATTTTATGTTATTCTTTTGTTTTTTGAGACCATCTTGCTATGTAGTTCAGGCTGGCCTTGAACTCACTATGTATTCCAGGCTGGCCTTGAACTTCAGTAATCTGCCTCAGCCTCCTAAATTCTGGGGTTACAGACAGGTGCTACTATGCCTGGCTATTTTATGTTACTCTACGTTTTGTAATATTTATTACAAGTATTGTTTTCCTCTTTAATTTTTTGTCTTTTAGTTTCTTTTTGTTTTGGTACTGGGGATTGAATTTGGGACCTTGTGCTTGCTAAGCAGGCAGTGGAACGACTGAGCTAAATCCCTGGCCTTTATTATAGTTTTTGACTGATGTCAATTTTCTTCTAAATACATAGGCCTGGGCCAGGGATACAGCTCAGTGGTGCTCTGCCTGCTTGACAAGCACAAGGTCCTGAGCTCAAATTTTGGTACAAGAAAAAAAAATACATACACCTAAATTTTATTTGGACATTTAGGTTCCATGTATTCTAAGGTTTTTGTACTAAAATATTTTTGCAAATTTTGTCCATATTAATAGAATTTTTGAGCTTCTTCCCTGCTCATGCAGGGTAAATTCTCAGTAATTCTTTTTTTTTTTTTTT